TTCTTAATCAAAATAAAGTTTAGAAGAAATTATAACCGGAAGTTTTTCATTCATCTCGAAATAAGCATATTTCAGATTTTAGGAATTGGTTTCAGCTCTCGGGAAGGTGGTTGTTCGATGAATGGTTTGTTTCGGGCAGCCGGAGTGTCGAGAGCTTCATCCACATGAACAACTTCATTTGCAACCTCACGTGCAATAAGAATACCAACTTGCAAGGCAGCCTCAATTTCCACATAAATAGAGCAAATTTTAATATCAGTTCAAACATCACAAGAGTAAACATCATCAAAATCAGATAATGATAGAAAATCAGCTACAAATAAATCAGTACAAGTATCATTAATAGTCTCAGAAAGCAACTCTATTGGAAAAACAGAATTCTCTTCCAAGGATTGTTGGTTAGATCCTTGAGCTTGTTGTATGATATTCATCAAAGAGGCTAGCTGTTCAATCTGTGTTTGCAAAGTCTGGAGAGTAGAATCTATTGTTGTTCAAACTGGAGATTATTTGCAGCAAATTGTTTGACAATATCCTCTAGTGAAGGCCCAGAAGGTGCATAACACACAACCTAGAATTCCTTCATATGCTTATGCGGATCCTCACCTGCAAAACCATTAAACTTTGACAACAAATATATTAAATCAGATTTCAATTCAAAAGGTGCATCCGTTGTAGGATAGTCAATATGTAAACAATTATTGTTCACATCAGAGACAACCAACTGCCTCAAAGTTCTTTGTTCATCCATGTTATCAATAAACACATAAATAACAACTATGTCCCAAACAGGCAGAAACAAATAGAAAGAAGGAAAGCGATTAAAATAAATTCAAAAAAATACAAAAACACCAAATTTAATCTAATGAATCAAAACAAAATTTTTGAGAATTCTTTGGATTTTTTCAACACTATGAAAACAGTAAAAAATTATTTAAAAATAGAAAAAAGAGGAATTTGAGACTTTGAGGGCCGAAATATTTTAGAATTCTATTATAAAAGAGTATTGTTCATCGATTTTTTTTGAACTTATGGAAGAAATTTGGAGCAAATTGAAATAGTAGGTTTCAAACTTACCTGGTAGGCTGAAAAACTGTACTGCAACCGAAATTGCAACCATGGAAATCAACAAACACAATAAAAAAACAAGAAAAAAATAGCAAGAACACTATACCTATGAATAAAATATTAATTAATAACAACAAGAATCCCCGGAAACGGCGCCAATTTGATCTAATGTCGCGCACGAATCAAAAACGAGTTACTTTAAAAAATGTAGTTTAGAGACAATGACTCCAGTATCGTATCGCGATGATTTTTGTATTGTTATTAACCAATAGAAGTGATTATGGAGGATTTAATTCAGGATCAATTTATAAAAGAGTTGAGAAAATAAGTTATTAAAATAAGTGATTATAAAAATAAGTCGATCTACTGTTTTCAAATTCCCGCTAATCATTGGTTTTTACCTTACCAATTCCCTAAGCGGCTTCAACCTCTATTCAATTTCAATACCACTTGACAAGCGCAATACATATAAAATACATTGAATTCCCATTCCGAATTAAGCCAACAGATTAATAAAATTGTGAATTAAGCAAACACGATATAGAACGTGATTTAACGACTAAGCAACGTAAACCGTGATTAAAGATTAAGAATACAATCATACGAATTTAAGCAAGGCATTCCATGAAATAACAGATTAAGCAAATTCAATTTCATAAAATAGAATTGAGAGAGAAACGAAATTGAATTGATAAATTAAAAACCTCAAACCATCAGAACGCGATTACAGTAGATCAACTCTGGATGATTAGTTCTTCATTCAAGCGTACAAGTCAAAGTTTCCATCGTGAAAAGTTTCCATCGTTAAAAGTGAGTGATCTTTTTTTCTTGTAGCACAACTGGAAACCTTATAAACAAAATAGAGTTTTTCGCTACTAACTTAAACTGGGTCGGAACATAAACCAGGTCCGTAAAATGACCCGAAACAAATTGTTTTATAATGTCTGTAACTTCAACGAATTACTCGGAATTATGCACTCTGAAATAGCTTCTGACTCCAAAATAAAAGTTGTAGATCTTTCTTTCATCTTTCCAACAATTATTAGAATGCGCCGATCCAATTCCCGAAGTTGTAGTTATGTTGTTTTCATTTAAAGCTGCTAATGCTGAAAATAAATACGAAAATCCATTAAAGGTAAAAATAAACTAAATTATAAAAACATCATAAAATAGAAAAATAAACAAAACAAACCATGGAAATGCCTAAGTACAAACATGAGAGAATGTGCATTAATATGCACTGATCAAACTCTTGACTCTGGTTTCCGTTAAGAACCCTTGTTCTGATTAGAATTTACCCCTGAGATGGGGTGAGAATTATTCTTACAGATATAATTGTTGATCTACATGATACTTGGTTCCAATGTGTTCTAAATTGGTTCCGAACATTTGATCCTATAACATTCAGACTCAGTTTCTTGGTACTCTGACCTGGGGTCAAACTTTTGATCCTGTGATGTTCAGATTTATCCGAAAAATTGTTTAGTTGTTAGTCTGAACTTTTGAACCCATGGTGTTGCATTTCATTACATCCATCATTATAAGAGTTTATTTCTATTATCATACATGCATTATCATGCATTTCATTAATCTCAACTTGGAGACTCATTGCAACCTGGTTTCTTATTCAGAATCTCAAGACCGCAAGACTGATTTCCCGACATTGTCGTCATCATGGAACAACTTCAGGAAGATGTGGTTGAGATAGGAGAACGTATGAAGACCCAGATGGATCAATTCATGGAGGTTATTTAGAACCTCACATATGGATAAGAAGAGTTGATACAGACTGTTTAGAGAGCCGCAATTGCTATTTTTGATCATGTTAATACACCTGGTGTTAATCTTACCCAAGGAGAGATTCATTTGAATCAGAATGTCTGAAACACTATTCAGATTCTTGTCAATATAATTTCACACCATGAGAATACTTCTGAGTCGTTATATGATACCTTCAGGTTCCCAATTGATGAGACTAAGTCTGAGAAAATACTTCACCTCCTCGAGGAGAGGATGAAAGCTATTGAGGGTCGTAACTCCATTGGTTTAGACGCTGCTAGTTTGTGCTTGGTGCCTGCTATCAAGATTCCTGCTAATTTCAAAGTCCCCTGTTTTGAGAATTACAAGGGTACCACTTTCCCGATGACTCACATCCAAGCATTCTGTAATAAGATGATTTCTTGTGCAGGAAATGACAAGCTTCTCATTCATTTCTTTCAGGATAGGCTCAGTGGGAAATCTCTTGAGTGGTATACTCAGCTTGAACGGAAACACATCTAAACTTGGAAGGAATTAGATGAAGCATTTTTTATGCAGTACAATTATAAAAACAACACGGCTCCTACCAGAATTCCACCCCAAGGTTTGACTTAGAAGGTTGACGAATCTTTCAAGGAGTATGCACAAAGATGAAGAGAACTGGTTGCCAGAGTTCAACCTCCCGTTTTGGAACAAGAGTTTGTGGACATGTTAACAGATACTCTTCGAGGTCCTAATCTGATGATTGGATATGTTGCTTCTAAATTTTTAGATTTGGTTGTCGCAGGAGAACAAATTGAGCACAGTCTCAAGAATGGTAAGATTCAGGATGTTGCTACTACTTTTGAATTCCCAAAGCAAGATGATGAAAGGACAAGTGCAGTTTCCGAGGACGAGGAAAAAACTCCTACTTATCCTCGATTTCAGATTCCTAATATAGTGAGTGCAAGTACTCCTAATCAGTATGCTCCACAAATATGTGTCGCATCTGTCAGCCAAACACCAGTTCAATTTGTTCAACCAAAGTCTGTTCCTTATGTGCAGCCAGTTCAGTATGCGCAGCAACCGCAAAACTATCGACAAAACTGTCGACAACGAGGTAGACAGAATCTGATAAGACCAAGAAGAATACATGATCCAATCTCTATGCCTCATAGTCAGTTGCTCTCTCACTTAAAAATTCTTTGATGGAATTAAAGCAACCCAAACCTCCTCTTTCTCCTTATCCTGTGTGATATGACCCCGACACCTACTGTTTGTTCCATTCTATGGCACCTGGCCATATAATTGAAGGCTGAAATGTGTTTAAAGGCAAAGTCCAAAACCTCATTGATTCCAAGGCAATCACGTTCACTCCCGAGGGTCTGCGTATAAATTGAAGTTTTCTTGCCCGAGTAAATGTCAAAAGTGCAAGAGCATCTTCTAAAACAATAAATCTAGACGGAGTCTAGTTTCCTCAACAGTGACAATTTCTAGTTTCATTTATATCCAAATCTCTTGTCTTTCTTTATCTTTTTTTAGGAAGTCTTTATATTAATTTTTCTCATTCTTTGATTTTTAAGGATTGGTATAACTTATCAAAAGTTTAAGTCATTGTTTCTCTCACCGTCTTCCTAGGCTATTTTTTAGCTTTCTTATAATTTTTTCAAGATTCAACATTTCTACATATAGACCAATCTTTAAAATATTTCTTTTTTGACCCTAACTTTAGTTTTGAACACTTTTGTTCCACCACCACCATCTTTACCCCTAGGTCCATAAATTCTTAGTTCTCTCTATGCCTTTTGTTTCTACTTTTCTAATCTCGTGTTATTTTTCTTACATGTCATTTGCATTTTCTTGTGACTATCCGAAATCTTCTCCTCATATTTTGTGTTAGAAATTTTTAGTTTTTCACCCTTTAAATGTTACTATTTAATCTATGGAACCTCTACCTATTGTTACATCCGTGTTCAATACTCTACGTTGGATGTCAAATTGTCTCTCTAAATATAATTCTATAGTTTAAACTATCTGGTTTTCTAATAAGACTTATAATTTTATCCATTTTTCTAAGGAAACATGTATCATGGAAGGAAAATATGTTTACAAAAGTTAATCTCATCGGAAATATCTAACAAAAAAAAAGTTCTATCTTATCTGACATATACATATCTACAACAGTTAATTTTACAGCTTCATTCCAAAACCTCGTAATTTCCATCCCATGAGCTCAAGTTAGAACGACAAGACGATGGAGAATATTGTGAAACTGAGCTGTGTTTGTGACCCTCTATCTCCACAAGTGCTTCACAGAACATTTCAACATGACAAGGAAGCCATAGAGGACCATCATTTCTGTAACCATATTCATTCTCAACATCTTCCAAAAATGTTTTGAACAAAGGGTGATTGAATATTTTGATCTTGATTATGAATCTCTGTCTCTCAGGTCCAACGTAGACACAAAGACAACCATTTGGTGGTTTCTTAGTATTATCTTTTTGCTTTTTGTGACACTTGTCTGATAATCTTCCATAGCTTCCACTTCTACTACTGTCTTGTGGATCATACAAACTCTTGCTGCTTCCCAATACCCTCTTACACTTCTTTACAAAATTCATCTCTATAGTTGTAGGGGAAAAGCGAGAACTTAGAAATGAAGGTGTTGATTAATTATGTGTATGAAAAGGGTTTAAGACTAAGCCAACAAGTTAATCTCTTTATATAGACAACTTATAAGTCTCCTACGACCCACCATATGATACATATATTCTCCTATAGTTGTTGGTCTTATTGTTCTACTTTATTTTATTCTGTAATTAACTTGTTCTTACGTTTGATGTTGAATTTTGAATATTGTTTAAGAACATTAAGTTTTTTATTTTTTTCTAGGTTCAAAAGTTAAAAATTAGTGGAGGCAATCAACATTTTTTAAAACCTTACCATGAAACAAGTGGATAGATAACCTTTTTCTAGAATGTCTTCGTCATTTTAAGGTTATTTGAATTAAATTTTATTGAGGGCTTTCAAATCACAATTATACCAATGAAAATATTTAATCATTAGGTTTGACCATTCCACACGTGCTAGTTTATTTTGAATAATATTTGAGAATTTGGAGTACCTAGTACCTAATAGTGGAGTACTTCATACTTGTGTTATTTTAATATGAAAAAAACAACGTCTAGTATCAAGAATGTGCAGTGTATCACTCGGCAACGGATACTTTGTTTGTGGGTACAATGATCTATGCTCCTTTTTCCAAAATGGACCAGAGCAAGGATGCTTAATTTCTATAACTTTTTTAAAAAATAAAACCACCGTTGATAATGTTTCTAGGGTATAAAAGTTAAATTATACAAAAATATGTGATCCATTTTAAGAATATATGGAATCTGAAAATACTTTAATCTTCAAAGTATTGCAGAGGCGATGATAGTGAAGAACTCTTTCACTATAGAAAAAATAGGCATCAGTGATGAGATATTGCAACTTGAGAACTACGTCACTAAAAAAAAAAAGATGTTGTCATATGATTGCATTGTGATATTGTCATGTGAAAATTATATCACTAAAAAGGAGACAGTTACTTGCTCTCTCTTTCTCGATTTTTTTTTTAATAATCAAGTATTAAAAAAAAATCGCAAATAACCGCGTTTCGGAAAAAATTACGCAAATAACCATGTTTCAGATGATTCCCTAAAGGAGGAGCCATCTCACTTGGCGCCTACACCCATTATTTAAGGGGAGGCGCCATCTCACTTGACGCCTATGTGCTTAGGGCATGCCCTAAGCCAAGTGAGATGGCGCCTATGTGTAATTCTAGGGCAAATTTGGCTTTTTTTTTGGTCCGGTGCGTTGCGTATTGGATACAGGATCAACAAAATTGACTTTTTATTAAAAAAAAATAATTACATCCAAATGTATTACATTAAAAAAACAGATAAAAAAAACAGATAAAAAAACAGATAAAAAAACAGAAAAAAAAAACAGATAAATCAGTGATCCTCCGGAACCCGGTAATGACCCCCGGTTCCGCATCCCCGTCCTCGCCTTTCCCGTGCTGGGTGTCGTCGCGTTTCCTGTTGTGGCAGGGTCGATGGCCCAGCGAAGTCAATGTGTTCCGGATCTATAAAATCAGTCAGATCCATATCTAGAAGATCCGCTTTGGTACAGTCGGTTACCCATACCCTCAAAGTTTGGTCGTGTTGGCGGTGGGTGGAGTTCCATGATGGGTCTGTAGCATTGATCGTATGAGTACGGTGGGTAGAAAGGAAATGAATCTTGGGGTGTTTGGTATTGAAGATGTTGGGTGGTTTGGTGATATTGTGGTTGATGGTAGGCTGGGTCGGTTTGTTCGTAATCTTCCGACATTCCCAGATCAGGGCTAAGGCTGGATGTTGAGGGGCCAATATTGGGATATACGGAAGACTGAAATTGTGTGTGGGGTATGCGGGTGTGTTGGTATTGTGATTGGTATTGTGGTTGGGTGTGAGGCATATGGGGGTATTGGTACTGAGGTGGTGATTGTGGTTGGTTGTGGGGCATTTGAGTGTAATTGTGTTGTGGTGGGGACTGTGGTTGGGTGTTTGTGGTTTTGTTTCTTCTGGAGGGTTGGTGGGAGGTTGATGGGTTTTGGGTTTGTTGTTGGGGAAACGAGGGTTGTGCCCATTGTGTGCGTGGGTCAACCAAGTACCTTGGATGAGACACGTGCATTTCAGGGTTACTAACCGACCTGTACCAAGATAAATATTGATTCGTGTGTCGCATATTACCATGATTAAGGAAAACTGGGAATTGCAAGACATATCGGTGACGCCTCTGCCACATCTTACACCATTCCGAAGAAAAGTCTTTCCAGTTGGTAAGACCCCACTGGGCGTCGACCCTTTTGAGATGCCATGGAGACAAACAAGTTGGATCACTTGGTATCTCTTGATGCATTCCGAACTGCATCTTCACACGGTCGTTGTGGTGCATCTTCACAATGTTGAACCGAATGATTGCAGTCTTCGCGGTCCAAATTGCTGCATCCTCCGGGTTTGGATCATGGCCCAAACCCAAATAAGGTCTCCAGACGAACTGTGAAAAAATTTAAATTAGGTTAACGAAAACGTAATATATAAATAATTTAAATTAAGAAAAGTTTAAAGGTACGACATACATCATCTGGGCCTAAGTGATCCAACAGATTGCGGTATAGTGCGACATTGAATCTTGGATTCTTGCCGTAATCCATACCCCTCACGCAATACCTAAAGGAAATAAAAAACATTTTATTTTTAGCATATATTTGGTGAAGAGATGAATAGTAATAAATGATATAACTTGATGACTTACTTTGTTGCGTACGGGAAAACGAAAGTGTTGTTGTTGACGGGGTTTAAGGACTCTATCCTCCACCAACCCCAGGCTTGTAGTAAAAAAGCGCACCCATAAAATGTACATTTTTCCTTGACTGCATTTTTGCACAAGGAACTGTATAGGTGGACTAAAATTGCAGAACCCCAACTATACTTTCTTGTTTTTTCAAAATCTCTAAGTAAATGTAAATACATAAAATTTACACTATTTCTCGTTGTGATCGGTGGAAATAGAACTGACTGTTTTGAAATGCTGGTTCGCGAAATGTCGCGGTAAGCAAGAGTCGCCACCGTATTTTATTTTCTCCAACAAGGAAAGGACAAAAGCACAACAAAATTCCTTTTCGAGATGTTTCTCGGTTCGGGAGGTAGATTATAGAAAGGGGAGGTGTTAGCACCCTTTCTATCCGTGGTTATCCACGGGCTCTTAGGTACTTGCTCATTATGTTTTCAAAATTTGTTTGCTTTTCAAGTGTTTGTGGGTTTTGAAAAAAGTTTAGTTTGAAAAACTTCTAGGTAACTCTTGTATCAGTCCTCAAGAGTGTATGAAGTGTTTGTTTGGAAACTTTTTGAAAGTGTAGGTGCGAAAAGATGTTTTTGTTTTTTGAAAGAGCAAGTACCCAGGAGAAATCTACCTACTCTAAGGAATTAGGCTGTGTAAGAGTCCTTTAGACAGTGTTATCCCACTATTGAAAAGTAGGTAGTACCGTCGTTGGAGTTTGTCGGGTCAATTCGGTTATAGGGACATGTGGTCACCAAAGCAATAGTAGAACGCCTTAGCGGTAACCCTAACGTCCTATATCCTTTTTATCCGAGGCAACCGTTTCGAGGCAACTGGAACTTTAGACAGGAGGGCGACCTCTAAACACCATATACTTGATGACCACCTCGAGGCAACCAAGTGAGGCGTACCCTAGGAGTGGCATGTGCATGTGTGTTGATTCAGTTAAGATTATCTTGTTCATGTTATTTGTGAGCTACGGATTGATTTTATTTGTCATACAAGTCTTGCAGGCATAATTAACAGTTTAATAATTTGCGGGAAATAAAGTGCGGAAAGGTAAATCTACGCTATTACAAGGCGCGGGTATATACATCGCCAAAAACAAACCCTTTAATTTAAATTGCGGAAAGTAAAATAAAGCGATAAATAATTAAAGTCCTAATTATCTATTACAAACCGGGAAACAGATACAATAATATGATAAAATGGATCGCGTGCGGGAAATTAAATCGGATACGAGTTTTTTGGGGTTTTGACCCTTTTTTGAAAGAAAGTGGTTTTTTTGGATTAAAAGAAATTAAATTAAGTTACCAATTAAATTAATAAACTAATTAATTAATTAAAATATTTTTGGAGTTTTTGATATTTAAGGAAATAAAAATAAATTTGATCAAAGTTAATAAAAACCTAATCGTCTAAATTAATTTTAATTATTGCAAAAAATATTAAAGTTATTTCCTAATTAAACTAAATTAATTGAATTAATATTTATTTACAAAAATAAAGTGCTGAATTTAATTTTAATAAATAAAATATATTTTTTTGTATTTTTGATTTTATTAGGAAAAAATGTTAATTGGTTAGTGATTAATAAAAAAAATAACGATTAATTAATTAAAGGAAAATAATAAAAATAGAGAGAGAGTTTAGGAGTATACGGGCCTGATTGGAGGGGTGAAACAGCTGTTGGCGTCATGTGTAAACTGTTTTGTTTTGGCCATTTGTGTTTTGGCTTTTGGCCATTTGTGTTCTGGCTTTTGGCCATTTGTGTTCTAGCCTCAACGTTCCTTAACCTTCTCAGGATGTCTGTCTCGCCATGTATTGGTGTCATGTGTAAGCTGTTCTGTTTTGGCCATTTGGCTTTTGGCTTTTGGCCATTTGTGTTTTGGCCTCAACGTTCCTTAATGAACCTGCATGAGATCCTGTCTAAATCTGCAATGTTGAATCTCATGAACACATTAAATAAATTACTATATATCATAAAACACAAATAAAGCCAATATATGAAGAAATTTAATGTTTAGGTCAATATGGCATGTATGAATGATTATACCCTTTTGATCATGGAGATCAAATCAACCTTACCCTTACTGGAAAAGTAGTGACATGAATGCTTTTATGCCCCTTTTAATCATGGAGATCAAGCCAGCCTTACCCTTACTGAAGAAGTAGTGAGATGTTGGTTTGTAACTGAGATGGCTTGTTTGTAGTGAGAGAGGGATTTGTAATAAGGATTTCAAGGTTTTAGGGTTCT